TTTCCATGTCATGCACTGTCTTATGAATATCTGGAGGTAAGGAGTGAGTATAGTCATCTTGTGCACTCCACTGGTCTCTAATGAGAAACCATGGCTCTCGTTGTGGTCCTGTTCCCTCTAAAGAATCAGGTGTTCCACGTTCAGCTCCCTCATCTGAGCTGTAATCTCTGGTGGTTTGCAGGCGAGCATTTGAGGTGTCTTCCCACTGTTTATCTTCTCGCCCATGTGTCTGCTGTGCTATCTGTATGAAAGGTATGGTAACTTGAGCGTTCGTTGGATACTGGACCTCAAAGTCTTGGAGGTATGCTGGCGGACGAACTGAACGTCTAGGTCGTGCACCTTGGATCTGATATTCTGGGTTCTGGGATTCTGACATCCTTAGTCCAGTGTAAACACACTATCCGGCTCGAAGGACCAATGTAAAATCTGAGGGATTTATTCTATTGTGTGCACTAGTTCAGGTGGGTGCGTGTTCGCACTGGTATGTCGGTCAAGACATCTGAGTCAGGATTCAGTTCAAGGATTGAATGAAATTATTTAAACATGACAGCACAGTCAGACCACAGGGCATTTATTGTTCAACAGTCTCATTTAGTGGACATTTACGTAGAAATGTGGTCTGTGAATGACAAAAGAACAATGAATAGACAATAATCGCAATAACTTTCAACAATTTGCAAGATAAAATAATATCCTTAAAGTATAACATATACTAAACAAACATTGTTGCAATACCATGTAGTGCCACAAAGTGGCGCATGAAACGCACAGAATAAAGTAAGTGAAAGGTCATTATATAGTTGCTGCGTTATCAAATGGCACGGTAAATCTGACGACTGGCAAGAAATCAATAATCCAAATGTACAATACTAAATACTATAAATGTATTACCTACAAATATCCATTAAATACTAAAGGAAGAATTAACATTAAGCAGCAATACAGAAGATGAACACGAGAATCACTATACTGCTCGTGCAAGTGAATCTGACGATGATAAACCAACAAGTCATCACTTGACTAACACAAAGTCAACTAATAAAGAACAGAGAATCGCACTTACTTATTTTCAATGACTCACTAAAGGAATGTCCACTTTATGGAGAAGTTTTACCGTTGTTTCTGCCTCAGGAAACTATATCTCTTCAACGGGTGCACACTGACTGACGACACACAGTGGAGAGTGCGCTTATTGGCTGGAGATTGCGCTTGTTGACTGTAGAGCATGTTCATTGGCTGTGTCTTCTTAACACGTGCCATACCTAACCGAACCGTACCAAGCAGTGGAAAAGCACCATTATTCACGATAGGCTACAGAACTTGCCTCGAGTAGCCTACCTTATGGTTTTATAAAACGTTTACTACACAATACACATATTAAAGTGAAAAAAAAAAATGTATTATAGAAACTTTCATGAAGTAAAATCACTAAAAGCATTCATTCCGCTAGAAAAAAAAAATAGTCCCTGACCGTGAACAACGTTCCAATGTGTAATATGCATGAAAGCTCAAATAAAAACAACATATGAATTGCAGTGTTGCGCAGTGATAAATAGAACCGTTGGGTGAAGCGGTCATAGCCGTACATGTTTTATCATGAATAAAGCACAGCTATTGAGCAATCAGAATCAAGGATTGGAACTAACCGTGTTATAAATAGTATTATATAAAAAAGCAAAGGATTTTTTGCACTGTGACTCTATTTTCATGAAAATTTGTCACAAATGTATGTGTGTAATACAATGTTCGGTAACGCTTTAGATTACAGCCCGGAAAGTACTGCGTAATTAAAACGATTTTACAGCGCAACCTAATTATAGTGTATCTATATATAGTACGTTCTAACGTACTTACAATATAAGTATAAGGGAACAATATTTTAAATTTGGGGAATAAAGGGGTAACAACCAGGAGAATAAAAAAAAAATATTTATACTGTAAGTATTATAGAAATATGGGGTACTTCTTATTTAGCCTATGATTTAGCAATCTTAGCAATTTAGCGAGAACATACCTTTTTGAAATAATGGTGAACCAGTACATACTGTATAGGCTTTTTAAAAATTACAGGGTACAAATATATGCATTCAGTAAAAAAACTCAACAGTTTTTTTAACAGAAGTGCACTGAAAACGAAAACTATTGCAAATTTTGCTTAAATATTTGGGAAAGATACTCTTGTTCTATGTAGTTACTGAGTACAATAAAAATGCATACACAATCTTATAATACTGACTCGGCAACCTTTGTTTAATATACAAGCACCACTTACCCTGTAACCACATGAAACCAGATCTATTTCTTAGTATATTTAAAAAAATTGCAATAGTCTTAGCTTTTCTTGCCTTGAAACATGCTAGCCCAAACATAAACATCTGCACTTTTACTATAATTTTTTTTATTATTTTTTATAAATGCATAGATATACCCTGTCATTTTTAAAAAGCCTATACAGAATGCACTGGTACACAGTAAAGGTACACATTATTACAAAAAGGTACACAGTTTATGTTATCGCTAAATTGCTCCCAAATGTAAGGTTATAAGAAATTAATAGTGAATAATAGTGAAGTACCCCTTAGTTACTATTTTTTTTTTTATTATTCTCCTGGTTGTTACCCCTTTATTCCCCAAAAATTACATATTGTTCCCTTATACTTACAGTACATGCAAGTACTTATTAGTTACACTATAATTACAGAAAGTTACACTGTAAATTCCTCTTAATTACACAGTACTTTCCGGGCTGTAATCTAATTGTCATGGAAATGGTTTCACAATGCAAAAACAATATTATTTAATTTTGGGATGATGTCACCTCTTGAAAGGTTTCATCCATACACTATAGCAAGACTGTAACATAAATCTCCCATGCACATATGAATGACTATTACTAGTATTGCTTATTAGTATTACTAAAGGTGATTGTGAAGTTTAATATTCTATTTCTGACTGACATTTTTTGACCAATGTTACTTTCAACATTTGGTGACAGGAGAGCCTTTGCAAATGAATGTTCTCTTTTTAAACTTTTATGTTAGTGACTCATGTATCTTCTGTGACCTGATAAAAACATTTGAATGTGAATTTTTTAAATGCCTGAGCTGTTGCTATAACTGTAAATTCATTTTTTAAAATGCAGGTTTCCTTCTCAGAACATTTCAAATGACTTTTACATTACTAAAATGTTTTAAATAATGCTTTAATGTTTTAAATGCTCTAAATACTTTGTTGCCCACTTTCTTATCAAGAATTCCACACTGTGACCAATAGAAGCTTTGCATATAGTACTGTTATTCTAAGTATAGCATACACTTTTTTCTTTATGTTCAGCACATTAGAATGATTTCTGAAGGATCATGTGACACTGAAGACTGAAGTAAAGTCTTCATTCAGCTTTGCATCACAGGAATACATAAAAATAGCAAAATAGAAAACATTTATTCTAAATAGTAATATTCATAATATTAAATGGTTCTGCCAAAAATTGTTGGAACACACACTGTAAAAAATATATGTTCATGATTTGTAATCACAACATGTTTTCTTTTGTTAAATGAACTTAAATGATTTATGTAGTTCAGATAACATAATATTTTGAGTTTCTGATGAGTAAAGCAATCTCCTTCATTGTATTAACTAAATTTTTCCATTTCAATGAACTTAAAATTCTAAGGCAACCAGGTTATTTCATTTTTTTTTAGTTAAACCAACAATATTTTTTTACAGTGCAAATGAAGATCTTTTTAATGAAATCTGAGAGGTTTTTATACCTCTGTTGACAGTTATGCAGCCACCACTTTCAATCCCCAGAAAGAAAGTAAAGACATCATTAAATTAATGTGGCAAAACAACAACAACAAAAAAAAAACATATTTTTTTTTATCAATCTCCAACATGCATGCGTTGTGATTCCATGAATGTTTCTTTTTTTGAAAGCCAAAAAAAAAAAAAAAAAAAAAAAAAAAAAAAAAAAAAAATCAAGGTTGAACCTCTGGAGCCAAAGCTCTCAGATTTCATTAAAAAGATCTTCATTTGTGTTCCAAATATGAATTTGGGTTTGGAACGGCATGAAGTTGAGTAATTAATAACATAATTTAATTTTTGGGGGGTGAACTAATCCTTTTAAAATTTTACTGTATTTTGATCAAATAAATTCAGCCTTGGTGAGCATAAGGACTTTTCAAAACCATCTTAATTATACCACTTAATGTTAATGTTTCCAACACAACACAAGGGGGCGTTACATTGGAAATGAAGTGGATAAACACACATAGGCTATTTGAGATTAAAGGTTTCCTGTAAATTTACTATAAAGTGCAGGTCAGTGTGACAGCCTAATATTATACGCACACTGTTGAATTATAGCCTATATTTACACAATATTGACTAATAGCTCTACTAGATTAATGACTGATGTAAGTCAACCTCAATCCTCTCACTCAGCTAAAGATACTCAATGCAAATGCAATGAGATTAGAATGACGCAAGAACTTTTCAAGCTCCTGGACTCAAACTCAGCAGCAAGCATTTGTGCTCAAGAGTGTGTACCCACCGATGAGGAAGCACGTTTGACCATGAAGAACATAATCATAATCATAAAATAAAAAAGAATTAAAAACTTAGTTAAATGAAAACCTTAATTAGGATAAACTATGCCTGTACATGTAGATACAAACACTTTTAGCTACACAAATCTGCCACCACGCCTTCTTCGCCTTTAAGAGGAACAATAAAGTGAATCTTGCTGAGCAAGTCAGTTAAAAGTTAGTTTAATTGTTGACATGTTTATAGCCAGATACCAGAAGCAAGCTTAATGACGTTTGGTGACACTGAAAGGTCTGTCACACAATAGTTCAAGCATTCTTTATTTACATACTGAGCATCTTTCTGGCCTTATGGATGGGAGTTTAGAATAAACCCCTAACCCTAAACATGTGCCACCAATAACATTATACTGCTGTTTAGTTTACCGTCGACATTGGCCTGGTATGAACATATGACATTCTCAGAATTGAGCATTTATTAGATGATACAGTACAATAGCAACATACAACAAACCTTGGTCAAGGATGCTTTTAGTACCACATCTGTCAAGATGTTTTACAATGTACAATGCAGCATCAAGCACCACTTAGCAGCATAAGACAATCTTTCCACTTCATGAATAAACAAATCATTTCGAAATATACAGTCATGGTTGCTGCTAAACTGAACGTCTCTCATACTAATTTGGGTAAGCCCATTCTTACATCTGCAATTATATATTTTGAAATATAATTGTGCCATTTGGAATAAATATGGAATAAATGTAATGCAATGCTAACACTGGTTGAGGTTTGTTTTGAACAATGCATTTAAATAATACTTTTAACATTAAGCATCCTGAGAATTCAAAAATTTATCAGTATAATGTTCTGTGACTGTATGACTATGTTTATAAAGTATTTCACTGCCAGTGTATATGATTCCATAGGTTAAATAGAAGTCGATACCTTGACTACATGGAAATATACGGTATTGTACAATCAATAGAATTGAAATCTCTTCAAAGTTTCTCTTTAGGTGTTTAGATGTCTTTGAAGACAGATTAATCTTCTAAGTCCCATCTAAAGGAACATTAGCAATCAAAAATAAAGTGCTTTATTTGAGGGTTTATCAGATGAAATATTAAAATTCCGTATTGTTCACCATAACATCATTGTCAATCCTTCGTATTTTTTTGTTTATTGGCCCTGTTGCTTATTTTAGGGGACACTTGCCATTCGGTCAAGCCATTGCACATGTTCTTTAGGTTTCCTGGTCCATTTGACTCTTTGAAGGGTGGTTGTTTAGTAATCACAACCATGTTGTCGCCTTGACTTTCAACACTCTCCATGAAACTCTGAAGATCTTTCAGTTTAGCTTGCGCTGTCTGATTTGTGCAATTCTCCACGGATCCTGGTTGAGATTCCATTGACGTTCTCGTTACCTGTTTTGCTAGTGTGCTCTCACAGATAACAGCAACAGTTTCATCAGATTGATCATCATTTTTTAAATCTTCCTCAACGGAGCTACATTTGTCCACTTCATTTTCTGTGTCTCCGTTGACCTCAACCTCGGTCTTTACCTTTGGCACATTGCCTTTTCTCTCAGGCTGGTCCTCGTCCTGTCCTGTGTTTGATGTCCCATCTTCCTCGGCAGTTCCATCTTGGCTTCCTTCAGCATTCTTCTCACTGGCAGACTCTTCATTTGGTGTCTCATCTGACTTTTCACCTTCAGTAGTTTCAGGAGTATTATCTTTATTTGATTCACTACCATCTTCTGCAGACTCGTCTTCTGTACTCTCTTCCACAGTCTCAGTTTCAGCTCTATTGTCACCTGATTCCGTTTCCTCACCAGTTTCTGTCATCTCCATCTCTTTTTCCACCTCTGCACCCACATCACTGTTTTCTGAATTTGCTGCATCTCCTTTAAGACAGTTTTTCTCCTCACCATCCTCTTCTGTATCTCCTTTTTCAGTCTCTTCCTCAACAAACTCTACTTCCTCTTTCCCCTCAGTGTCACCATTTACCACTTCTTCTTTCACATGCTCTCCTTCTTTCTCCTCCTCATCTTCACCACCTTCACCATTTGTTTCTCTTTTCTCAGAGTCTGAAGATACATATTTTACATTGTTTATGTTTTCACCATCTACTGCATTGAGAGCACCATCTGGCGTCTCAACATCATTCGTATCTTCTACCTCTTCATGAACCACTTCTAAGTTGTTTTCTTCAGTCAAGTTGGTTGTGCGTTGTTCTTCCAGCTTCAATTCAAAAGGTTTGACTGGATCCTTTTTCAGTTGTAAAATTTTCCGCAGATCAAACTCCATCATAACTGGAGCCAAACTCAAAGCCTGAGCTTGCTGGACTGCCCTTGACGCCATTTTCTTTTTCATGCATGCATCGCATGGACAGTATTCATCCTCACTGCGTTGATCACTGTTTTCAGTTCCAGATGCAGTGTAAATGTCCTCATCCCTTGACATGGTGATGGACTTATTGCGCATGACCCGAAGACGCTTGCGTCGCTGCTCAGTCTGGACTGTAGACTCTCTTGATAGAGCATTTCCCGGAGGTCTTGGACCCCTACCTGTCCGACTTTGGATTTTTTGCAATTCTCTGTGAATACTCGATTGAATCCGTTTGTGTACTTCCACTTTCAGTTCGCTGATCATTGTATCGAGCATCTCGTTGTCATCCAAATCCCACCTCACTTTGAACTCTGCCATGGCATCTGCATAATGCAACATGAACTGGTTTTCTAGCTTTTTTAACAAGTTCAGTACCCAAACAGGATCTGGGTCTTGTGAAACCCTTTTAAGAAGCGGAGCTCTCTGAACAGACGGTGGACTTCCTGAGCTTGTATTTTCTTGAGATTTCATTGTGTTACTCTCATTCCCAGAGCTTATTTGTGGTGTTTGATCTGATTCTTTCTTACTGCTTTCAACATCTTCTTTGTGTAATATGCCATTTTCTTTGTCATCATCCAGTTGTGTATTTACTGGGCTCCCCTGTACTCGCTCTGCAATGTCTGGAGTTACTGGATCCGAGAGAACGTTGGGTGGATCTAAACATTCACATGCAGGAGCTGTAGAATTTTCCTCTTCATCTTTAATTTCCACTGATGCCTCTTGTTCGGCAATTGGTGGTATTGTGCCATGAGTGGTCTCTATTTTTCCTACTATGCCATTCATGCTACCTTTAACAGAGCCAGTGGAGCCGCTACTAACATCAACCCCAGATGAAGACCGTGGGTTAAATTCATCCTCGGTGAAGTGATGCTCCTGCTTTTTCTGTTCATCCTCAGAGGGCTTTTGGAGCCAGAGCGACTGTAGGATCATCATGATTTCATTATATTTACGTTTCTTTTCGTTTTTAGAATCTGAGTCAATCAATCGTAAATTTGCAAGGCAGTCCAACAGACCTTGAGCAGACTGGCTTAATTTTCTGCCATAAGCAAGGGAGACTTCAGGTAAACTACTGGATCTGTCTAGTTTTGGACCCAGTAAAACCTTCATGACCTGAACCGAAGAATGGCAATGCTTTTGTAAGCAGTCTTGTTTGGTTAATGCTTCAGGGTCAGGATACATTTCATGAGTTTCCAATTGTGCTTTTTCACCACAACTGTCGTTGGTCTCCTGCTGAAAATAATTCTCGCCTGCTTGATCCTCCTGAGGTTCTTCAACCTTAATTATGCTTTTTTCAGTTTGAGAAGTGTCCTCATCACCTTGAGCCAGGTTCATATATTCGGTGAGTTCGCCATCCATTTCATAAACATGTCCTTCAATGGGAATCTTCCTAAGCCAGTCATTCACAACTTCTGTAGGGGAAGCGTTCGGTAAGAATGACGGCATCAGTTCCTTGCTGTCGCACTCCAATGAGATGCTGACTTCCTCATGCTTGCTCCTGCTGCTTTTTTGGCTTTTATTTTCTACCTTGTCAACATTTTTGCTAGAGGCAACTGACTTTGATCCTCTACTCACTGGTCTTGCATTACCAATAATTTCTCTCAACAAATCTGCTGCTGAAAGTGCCTGAGATAAAACACTGTTGCTTGAGGAATCTGGATGCTTGACCGATGTTTTTTCTTGTTTGGCATCTCTTGTGGTAGGCTTATACAATTTTGGGAAATATCAGACATTACCGCAGAATTTGCATCACTTTTCACAGATCTTCTTTCTGATGAGGAGGGTTTAAGACACTTAACCATGCCCCTATCATTTTCACAGTTATATTTTATGTTCAGTCCATTTATTTCCAAACATTGGGAAGAACATTTAGATCTTTTGTCATTCTCTCTAGTACTTTGGCCATTTTTGGACTTCATTGAATGTTCAGATGCTTTTGAATGTAAACAGTCACTTGCTGGTGTAGCTTTTCCAGATGCTGTTTCACTTTGGTCATGTTTTGAGGATGTTTTAGTAATTTCTGCATGGTTGGTGTTGTTGAGAGCTTCAGACTCTCCTCCTTTCGTAACTGTATTTTTAGCACTTCCCTGTGAAACTCCGGAGGGTGTTTTACTTTGTACAGATGACATTGACAAAGTGGAGGGCACTCTGATGTTGTTTTCATTTAACTGGCTTCCAGATTTGCTTTTCTTCAGTTCTGCCGACATAATACTTTCAGCTGAGACAGGCGAGAGGGCTTGAACAGGAGTCTTGTAGTTCATGTGATGGGACTTTTTTGGTCTGTCTGAAATTGCAGAATTCACAGAAACTTCTGTATTTGGCCTTTCCTTAGCATCCACTCCATTTACATTCTCTATCTTATGTCCACCGTCCTCTGTGGTGACAGACATGCCGCTGATTGATCTTTCATCAAAGTCATCACCCTTGTGCTCTTCTCCAAGTCCGATAGAAACAGACGCTGTTGATGTTGGGCTTAGAGGCTCATCAAACTGGTTGCCTGAAGACTTAATGTTATTGATAAGGGATTTATTTGACAGTTTTGATTTTCTTGACAAGCTCTCTTCAGATTCATCTTTGGCATCCTCTTTTTGTTTCTCAGGATTTGTCTCTCTCAAATTACCACTTGAGGAGCTGTGACAATTACATTTACTGGATCTTTGGGATTGCGAGGATACATTAGAGCTTACTGACATCCCACTTGTTGCTCGGCTATTGGTCTTAATTTTAGTGTCATGGTTTGATCTAGGAGATGGAGACCTCTTTGTCCAAGGCAATGGAGTGGTCACAGTTAAGGCATTTTGTGTCATGCTTTTGCCATTATCCACTTCCTGGAAGGCAGGGCTCTTTGTACCAGACTTGACGGATCTTTCAGAGCAGGCATTAGACTTTTCTGAGGTCTGAGACATTGTGCTGGTTGCTCTCTCTGACTCACTTTGTGGATCTGCACATTCATCAGGCGTTACATAATTTGGTACTGAGGTAACTGTGTTTTCTGAATAGTTCTGGTTTGATTTGCAGGACCTACAAGACATTGCACTGTTAACTCTTTCCTTAGATTTAGACTTTGAGGATGCATTTGACTTTACAGACCTTTTTGAGCGTTTGGACAGTGAACTGCATAGTCTTTCCTCTGTGGTTACTTCAGTTTCGGCTCACTCTGAATATCGGAATGGATGGACTTCGGAGTGGCTTTGTCTTGTAAGTCGCAACAAGATTTGACAGACCTAGTTGTTTTCTCTGATGTTTGTGATGGATGTTCAGAAGATCGGTCTGATTTGTTAGACATGGCACTAGTTGATCTCACTTCTTCAAGAAACTCTGTGTCTTGTTCACAATGATTATTTGACGTAGTATGATTTTGAGTAGCAGCACTTTCTGATTTATCACCCTGAGAATTAAGTAACGTTGATGGCACTTCTTCTAAATCATTTGGACTACAAGATCTAGGTGTTTTAGTTTTCTCTGAATGTGCAGATTTTGATTTATGGGATGTTTTTGATGCAGCTGATAAGTTTGAATGAGCAGACATTGGACTGACAGCTCTTTCTTGGCTTTTTTCTCCAGCTTCATCGTTTTCTGTCAGGACCAAGGCTGGTGTGGGCTCTCTCTCTGAAATAATTAAGTCTGACCTGGCTGACATGGCACTTTTGGTTCTTTCTTCAACACTTTCTGTTTCATTATGTTCATATTTCACTGATTTTCCCAACAGAACACATTTCATGAGCAGAGCAGTTGGATCTTTTGGAGGTTTTTTGAAGTAGAAGAGGTATTTGAATTTTTAGACAGTGCAGACTCAGAGCGTTCCATTGTTGCTTCCACTTCCAATGTATTAATAACAGGTTCACATTTTTCATTAGGATTTAAAATGGATACAGCAGATTTGTTTGACTTCAACAATATGGAATCACCTTTCTCTGGTTCACTCCCCTCTGGATTCTCAGTCAGTGTTTTATTCACACAACAGCATGAACATACAGCTGACCTGCCAGATCTTCTTGACACACCTGAAGTGGCACTCAAAGGTCTGTTTTCAGCGTCACCATCACATTCCTCCAGAGCATCTGATGCATTGGATTCAGGGTTGTTTGTTTTGTCTCTAGATTTACAAGATGTTTGGCTGTGCTGGCAAGCAGATGAAACTGAACTTGGGGTTATGGCTCCACAGTGACTTGGATGGGATCTGGAGGAGACTTTTGAAACTGGAGATGTTGTACTCATCCCGTCTTGCTCTACTGGTGCTTGCAAAAGTGGTTTTATACTTTTTGAGCTTCAGTGAGTGAACAACACTGCTTGATTCTTTACTGGGAGGTCTGGGGGACAAATACGATCTTGGTAAAGTCTGGCAGCCACAACAATGAAACACAACTGGGTTGATCATCGCTCTCAAGATGGTCACTTTGAGACCAGTGTGACACTCTTGAGATGCTTGGAGGCAGCTCATCATAATCATCATCCTGATCTTCCTTCAAAGACTCAAGCACTTTGGACGAATTGCTGACTGCAGAAATCGGACGCTCTTCCATGACTTTAATGACCGCACAATGTGGCGTAGGAGAGATTTCAGGTTCTGTTTGAGAACATCTACTTTTAATGTGACTCTCACAGCAGTCCTCACCAGATCTCTTGCTCTTTGACGTGACTCCAGCAGATGATACTTCACTTCGATTGCAGCAATGACTTACAGCACAGTATTCTACTCTGGTGTCCCCTTCCTCCATTGTCTGCTGAAAGCATGAGGCCTTTT